TTTTCTGACCGATGAGCTTTGTAAAAATCGACGTGTTTCAGAAAGGCGGGGCATAGAGGAGAAACAATAATGTATAGTATGTGGAAAATAATGTGTTTTTTTAACCTTAAACCGCATAAACACATTTCATTACACCAAATACACAAAATAATGTTCTTTTTAGCAACATCATATGACCCCTTTAACATTGATGTGTCTGGACTCACCTCAGCGAAGACGAAAGGTGTGTCGAATTTAAGGTACACCTGTCCAGAGCGGATAGCGGCCAGTGACGCCGGGCCGCAGCGGAACGTCCCGTGACTGGTCTCCTGGGGTGTGGAATCCACGGCCTGCCAGCCACCCATACCAGGAGGCAGATCCGGACGAGCCATCCAGCAGTCATTCCAAACATGGAAGTTCCTGTAGTTACAACAGAAGAAATGAGAGGAAATCAGGGATTCAGAAAGACTTAATAAAAGAATGAGTAATGATATACCGATACAACAGCAGTCTTGGACTTATTCCATGAAATGATTCCATGAAAAAGCACAAATGCTCACCATATAGAGTCCGAGTTGAGATGATGGATTGGTTCCATGATCTCATCAAAATACACATCTGTTGTCAAGGACACATCCGTATCATGGGCAGACTGGAAATTAGTTACGGAACGGGTAGGAATACCTAGACATCTCAATACTGAGACAGATACAGAGAGAGAGAGAGAGCATGAGGTATTCATTTTTTGTAAATATTCAATATAATAAAATCCACTTCCGTACAAACATTTGGGCTTTTTGGAAGAAATTATTGCTTTTATTCCACAAGGATGCATTAAATTGAACAAAAGTGACATTTAACATGTTACAAAAGGTTTATATTTCAAATAAATGCTGTTCTTTAAACTCTTCTTTTTTTATTTATCAAAGAGTTCTGAAAAATTTGAAATGTATCAAATATATTTATCAAAAATATGAAGCAGCACAACTGTTTTCAGCACTGATAATAATAAGCAATGTTTCCTAAGCAGCAACAAAGCCACTAGAAGGCAAGCCTGCAACCTTTAGCCAAAAAAGCGTAATGGCTAATGCTAACGCTTCCGGTTTGCCAGTATGTAGGAAAGGAGACCAGAGGCCGTTTTTTTTTTTTTTGAATGAATGTCAATGGAGGAGAGGCTTCACTATGCTGAATAAACAGCTTTTTGGAGGAAACAGCTCATCATTTAATGAATTGACAGCCTTTCGGCTAATCTCCCACTATTTTTTCACTAAATACTTTTGGATTGAACTTTTTTAGATTAGATATGATATTTTAGATATCATTAAAAAAACCTTTTGAATGCTAGGGTATATCATATCAAATTAAACTATTGTGACAGTCTAGCAATAAGTGTAAGAGTCTCATGCAGAGTCAAATACTATTAATATCTGTGTGTGGAATGAACAGTATGCAGACGAGAGTATTTTAAACTGAAGTTCTCTACGGGGGTCACAGTGCTGTTAGCTGAGTTCAGCTATGAATGTCACAGGACTCTGAGTGCAGTAAAGATAGCCTGCGACTGGCGGCTCAATAGCATATTTTGTTGATTTGTGAATTGCTATGACATTATATACCCTCCCAGTCTCTACGATATTATATTTGACCATGTACGTTTTGATGTGTAAAACGTTAAAAGCTGATTGCAGAAAACAGAAAGCAACCTTCAATTAACAAGACTGACTTCTGAAAATTTTTACTACAATGCTTTTTTGTATGTCAGTTGTTTGTGATTTGTAAAGTTACTAGTTAAAGGGGTCCTATTATGCTTTTTCACTTTTTCAACTTTAGTTAGTCTGTAATGTTGCTGTTTGAGCATAAAAAAGATCTGCGAAGTTACAAAGCTCAAAGTCCAATTCAAAAGAAGATATTTTATTTAACAGAAATCACTTTTTATAAACTACAACGAACGACTCGTTTGGACTACAACGCACATTTTCCGGGATTTGTGATTTTAATCAATCATAAAATGTCCTATCCTGGCAGATTTCACTGAAATAAGTGTCTAATTTTGTCACAAAGACATTTTTTGGCATGAATTGATCATTTGGACAAAATAACACCAAAAACAAGCATTAAAGAGCAGGTCATATGGGTTTTTGAAAAATATCTCTTTTGCAGTTTATAACGTAGCTATCCTTA